CTACACATCCCTTACCCACTCTAAAACCTCCTTGCTCATCCACAACCCTACATTCTGTCTTACTTCTAATTCGTTCAATAATAATCCTACCATACACTTTTCCTGGTATACTCAGTAAACTTATTCCTCTATAATTTTTACAATCTCTTTTGTCCCCCTTCCCTTTATATAAAGGAACTATACATGCTCTCTGCCAATCTCTAGGTAACTTCCCCTCTTTCAAACATTTATTAAACAAAAATACCAACCACTCCAACACTATATCCCCCTGCTTTTAACATGTCTGTCATGATCCCGTCAGTTCCAGCTGCTTTACCCCCTTTCATTTTACGTAATGCCTCACGCACCTCCCCAACACTCACATCCTGCTCTTCTTCACTCCTAAAAGATGGTATACATCCCTGGCCATTGCATGAAATTACCACCTCCCTTTCTTCGTCGACATTTAAAAGTTCCTCAAAATTTCCCGCCATCTACCCAATACAGTGGACCCCCGCATACCGTTGGCATCACATAACGATTAATCCGCATACCGCTTCCTTTAATCGCAAAAATTTTGCCTCGCATACCGCTTAAAAACCCGCTCACCGATTTTCGTCCGAGACACGTCCAATGTGCGCCCTCAGCCAGCCTCACATGTGCCGCCGGTGGCATTGTTTACCAGCCAGCCTCCGCGGTAACATCCAAGCATACAATCGGAATATTTCGTATTATTACAGTGTTTTCGGTGCTTTTTCTGGAAAATAAGTGACCATGGGCCCCAAGAAAGCTTCTAGTGCCAACCCTACAGCAATAAGGGTGAGAATTCCAATAGAGATGAAGAAAGAGATCATTGATAAGTATGAAAGTGGAGTGCGTATCGCCGACCTGGTCAGGTTGTACAAGAAACCCCAATCAACCATCGCTACTATTGTGGGCACCAGAAAGGCAATCAAGGAAGCTGTTCTTGCCAAAGGTTTAACTGTGTTTTCGAAACAAAGATCGCAAGTGATGGAAGATGTTGAGAGACTCTTATTGGTGTGGATAAATGAAAAACAGTTAGCAGGAGATAGCGTCTCTCAAGCGATCATAAGCGAAAAGGCTAGGAAGTTGCATGAGGATTTAATTAAAAAATGCCTGCAACTAGTGCTGATGTGAGTGAATTTAAGGCCAGCAAAGGTTGGTTTGAGAGATTTAAGAAGCGTAGTGGCATACATAGTGTGATAAGGCATGGTGAGGCTGCCAGTTCGGACCACAAAGCGGCTGAAAAATATGTGCATGAATTCAAGGAGTACATAGAGACTGAAGGACTGAAACCTGAACAAGTGTTTAATTGTGATGAAACAGGCCTGTTTTGGAAGAAAACGCCAAGCAGGACCTACATTACTCAGGAGGAAAAGGCACTCCCAGGACATAAGCCTATGAAAGACAGGCTTACTTTGTTGATGTGTTCCAATGCTACTGGTGATTGCAAAGTTAAGCCTTTATTAGTGTATCACTCTGAAACTCCCAGAGCATTCAGGCAAAAGAATGTCCTCAAGGAGAATTTGTGTGCTGTGGAGGGCAAACAGTAAGGCATGGGTCACTAGGACTTTTTCTATGACTGGGTTACACCATGCATTTGCCCCCAATGTGAAAGATTACCTAACTGAAAAGAAATTAGAACTTAAGTGCCTCCTGGTGTTAGACAATGCCCCTGGTCATCCTACAGACGTGGCAGAGCGACTTTATGGGGACATGAAATTCATTAACATCAAGTTTTTGCCTCCTAATACCACTCCTCTCCTGCAGCCCATGGACCAGCAGGTTATTGCAAACTTCAAAAAACTGTACACAAAAGCTCTGTTTGAAAGGTGCTTTGTAGTGACCTCAGAAACTCAACTGACTCTAAGAGAGTTTTGGAGAGAGCACTTTAATATCCTCAATTGTGTAAACCTTATAGGTAAGGCTTGGGAGGGAGTGACTAAGAAGACCTTGAACTCTGCTTGGAAGAAACTGTGGCCAGAATGTGTAGACAAAAGGGATTTTGAAGGGTTTGAGGCTAACCCTGAGAGGATTATGCCAGTTGAGGAATCCATTGTGGCATTGGGAAAGTCCTTGGGGTTGGAGGTTAGTGGGGAGGATGTGGAAGAGTTGGTGGAGGAGGACAATGAAGAACTAACCACTGATGAGCTGATAGATCAACTTCAACAGCAAGAGGCCAGACCTGAGGAAACTGGTTCAGAGGAGGGGAGAGAGAAATTGAAGAAGTTGCCTACTACAAAGATTAAGGAAATGTGTGCAAAGTGGCTTGAAGTGCAAACCTTTTTTGATGAAAATCACCCTCACACAGCTATTGCAAGCCGTGTTGGCAACCTGTACACTGACAATGTTGTGAAACACTTTAGGGAAGTCATAAAGGAACGAGAGGTATAGGCCACTATGGACAGATATGTTGTGCGAAAGAAGTCCAGTGACTCTGAAGCTGGTCCTAGTGGCATTAAAAGAAGAAGGGAAGTAACCCCAGAAAAGGACTCGACACCTCAAGTCTTAATGGAAGGGGATTCCCCTTCTAAACACTAACACACTCTCTCCCCTCCTCCCATCCCATCAATCATCACCAGATCTTCAATAAAAGTAAGTGTCATGTAAGTGTGCATGCCTTTTTCAGTTTGTGTGTATTAAAATTAACATTTCATGTGGTAAAAAAATTTTTTTTCATACTTTTGGGTGTCTTGCACGGATTAATTTGATTTCCATTATTTCTTATGGGGAAAATTCATTCGCATACCGATTATTTCGCATACCAATGACCCCTCTTGCACGGATTAAAATCGGTATGCGGGGGTCCACTGTACCTCCATCTCCCCATCTACTAACTCCCCTACTCTGTTTTTAGCTGACAAATCCATTTGTTCTCTAGGCTTTCTTAACTTATTTATCTCACTCCAAAATTTTTTCTTATTTTCATCAAAATTTCTTGACATGCCTCTCCCACTCTATCATCTGCTTTCCTTTTGCACTCTCTCACCACTCTCTTCACCTTTCTTTTACTCTCCATATGCTCTACTCTTCTTATAACACTTCTGCTTTGTAAAAACCTCTCATAAGCTACCTTTTCCTCTTTTAACACACCCTTTACTTCATCATTCCACCAATCACTCCTCTTTCCTCCTGCACCCACCCTCCTATAACCACAAACTTCTGCCCCAAATTCTAATACTGCACTTTTAAAACTATTCCAACCCTTTTCAGCCCCCCCCCCCACTACTCATACTTGCACTATCCCACCTTTCTGCCAATAGTTGCTTATATATCTCGCCTGAACTTCCTCCTCCCTTAGTCTATACACTTTCACCTCTTTCTTACTTGTTGCCATTTTCCTTTTGTCCCATCTACCTATTTCCCTAACTGTAGCTACAACTACATAATGATCCAATATATCAGTTGCCCCTCTATAAACATGTACATCCTGAAACCTACCCATCAACCTTTTATCCACCAATACGTGCTATATCATACCTTGTATATTTATTTATCCTCTTTTTTATAAAATATATATTACTTATTACCAAACCTCTTTCTACACATAGCTCAATTAAAGGCTCCCCATTTTCATTAACCCCTGGCACCCCAAATTTACCTACTACTCCCTCCACAACATTTTTACCCACTTTAGCATTGAAATCCCCAACCACAAGTACTCTTACACTTGGTTCAAAACTCCCCATGCACTCATTCAACATTTCCCAAAATCTCTCTCTCTCTCCTCTACACTTCCCTCTTCTCCAGATGCATATACACTTACTATAACCCACTTTTCACATCCAACCTTTATTTTACTCCACATAATTCTTGAATTAATACATTTATACTCCCTCTTTTCCTGCCATAGCTTATCCTTCAACATTATTGCTACTCCTTCTTTAGCTCTAACTCTATTTGAAACCCCTGACTTAATCCCATTTACTTCTCCTCACAAACTCTCCCACCCCCTTCAGTTTTGTTTCACTTAAAGCCAGGACATCCAGCTTCTTCTCATTCATAACATCCACAATCATCTCTGTCTTATCATATGCACAACATCCACGCACATTCAAACATCCCACTTTGACAATTTTCTTTTTTCTTTTCAGTTACAAAATATAAATTATTCATTTAGAGTCGGATTTTAGACTAACAGAAAGCTTTCATTTAGGAGTGTTTGTTGCCATTTCATGAGAAGTGTTCACATACATGCTGATTACATTCTCAAACATTAACACTTAGTCTTTCATACACATACCCTCATATTCATTCAAATGAACTTTCATTATCAGCAATCATTCCTGAAACATGAAAAACACACCATACCACGGGCGGGATTGAACCCGCGGTCAGAGAGTCTCAAAACTCCAGACCGTCGCGTTAGCATGAAACATGACCCTGTCATCACAACTTGCTGTTCTCAGTATTGCAAGTTGCAAACTATTACATTCAGCATCATTAGTAAATCTATTAAGCTAAGACTTAACCTGGGCATAAACAAAAAATTAAAATTTAAAAAAATTTCACACCAGCCCTCTCTCATTGTGTTAGGGTGACCCAAAACAAAAGAACACTCTCACCATCACTCCGTTTATGACCACTTTACCAGAGGCATGCAGACATTAGATGGTTCTTCAAACTATAATGTCAGTATATCTCTGGCAAGACAGTGATAGAGTGAGTAGTGAAAATATCACTTTTTTGGTGGGGTCACTCTACCTGAGTGGAAAGTGGCTGGTATATTTAAAAAAAAAAATACAAAACAGCATGTGGTTTCATTTTCACTAGGTTTCATTTCAATGTAAGCTTAATCAAATTGATAAATATTTCTATAGAGTCAAACCTGTACTACTTTGTGTGTTATTCTGCTCCATTTACTGGTTCTCAGCTTTCTATCCACATCTTCATATTTTGGCAAAACCAGTTATTAATTCAAGTTGGATACAATTTTGTTCACCTTTTCTAACAAGATAAATTCATGCTTCACATGGGTATAAGGCTCATTATTACAATACCTGAGATTCCATCAGGTTATACCAGCGCAGAACATGTACTGGGGCTTTGTCACTCTTCAACAGTGTGTGCCACGCTGCATTTTCTGAAAAAATATAAATAAATAAATAAATAAATGTTGCATACATTTCTTTATTCAGGCTAATTATATTCATGAAAGCCTCTGCAAAACCTGATTAAAAGTGACTGTTTCATCAAGAACCATGTTAAGTGTGAGGAGCAATTCACAATAAATTCACAAACTGATGCTTCTCTTTCACAGTTTAACCCTTTCAGGGTCAGCAGGCCCTCTCCTAAACTTGTTCTCAGGGTCGGAAATTTTTCGAAAAAAAAAAAAATTATTTTTTCTTATGAAATGATAGAGAATCTTTTCCCAATCATAATGACACCAAAAGTATGAAATTTGATGGAAAACATATGGAATTATGCTCTCACGAAGTTAGCGGTCTCAACAATGTTTACGCATCGGCGATTTCGCCCACTTCGAGCCCTATTATTGGCCAATTACAATGTACCAGTCGACAAAAATCATACCTGTTTCACTAGAACTCCATTTTGTCTATCGAATGAGTACAAGAAACCACCCATTTACCGAATACAACTAACCAGTAACGTGGTCAGAAATTGGCAATTTTGCCAATTTCACACAAATTTCAAAAGATGCCAATTTCCAAACAGGGTCCAGAATAAACAAGACAGACATTCCTGGCACTAAAATAACATTTCCTGTGCTCATTAATCACGTCCCCAGGCCTCTGTTACATTTCTTTTGCTTTCCTCTTTGAATTTTAGTTAAAAGCAGGGGAGGAGAGTGTTGGAGTGGTTGGTATTTTTGTTTAATAAATATATGAAAGAGGGGAAGGTACCAAGGAACTGGCAGAGAGCATGTATAGTCCCTTTATATAAAGGGAAGGGAGACAAAAGGGATTGTAAAAATTATAAAGGAATAAGTTTACTGAGTATACCAGGAAAAGTGTACGGTAGGGTTATTATTGGAAGAATTAGAGGTAAGACAGAATGTAGGATTGCAGATGAGCAAGGAGGTTTTAGAGTGGGTAGGGGATGTGTAGATCAAGTGTTTACATTGAAGCATATATGTGAGCCGTATTTAGATAAAGGTAGGGAAGTTTTTATTGCATTTATGGATTTAGAAAAGGCATATGATAGAGTGGATAGAGGAGCAATGTGGCAGATGTTGCAAGTACATGGAATAGGTGGTAAGTTACTAAATGCTGTTAAGAGTTTTTATGAGGATAGTGAGGCTCAGGTTAGGGTGTGTAGAAGAGAGGGAGAATACTTCTCGGTAAAAGTAGGTCTTAGACAGGGAAGTGTAATGTCACCATGGTTGTTTAATATATTTATAGATGGGGTTGTAAAAGAAGTAAATGCTAGGGTGTTCGGGAGAGGGGTGGGATTAAACTATGGGGAATCAAATTCAAAATGGGAATTGACACAGTTACTTTTTGCTGATGATACTGTGCTTATGGGAGATTCTAAAGAAAAACTAAAAAGGTTAGTGGATGAGTTTGGGAATGTGTGTAAAGGTAGAAAGTTGAAAGTGAACATAGAAAAGAGTAAGGTGATGAGGGTATCAAATGATTTAGATAAAGAAAAATTGGATATCAAATTGGGGAGGAGGAGTATGGAAGAAGTGAATGTTTTCAGATACTTGGGAGTTGACGTGTCGGCGGATGGATTTATGAAGGATGAGGTTAATCATAGAATTGATGAGGGAAAAAAGGTGAGTGGTGCGTTGAGGTATATGTGGAGTCAGAAAAAAAAACGTTATCTATGAAGGGCAAAGAAGGGAATGTATGAAAAGTAATAGTAGTACCAACACTCTTATATGGTGTGAAGCTTGGGTGGTAAATGCAGCAGCAAGGAGACGGTTGGAGGCAGTGGAGATGTCCCGTTTAAGGGCAATATGTGGTGTAAATATTATGCAGAAAATTCGGAGTGTGGAAATTAGGAAAGGTGTGGAGTTATAATAAAAGTATTAGTCAGAGAGCAGAAGAGGGGTTGTTGAGGTGGTTTGGTCATTTAGAGAGAATGGATCAAAGTAGAATGACATGGAAAGCATATAAATCTATAGGGGAAGGAAGGCAGGGTAGGGGTCGTCCTCGAAAGGGTTGGAGAGAGGGGGTCAAGGTGGTTTTGTGGGCAGGGGCTTGGACTTCCAGCAAGCGTGCGTGAGCGTGTTAGATAGGAGTGAATGGAGACAAATGGTACTTGGGACCTGAAGATCTGTTGGAGTGTGAGCAGGGTAATATTTAGTGAAGGGGTTCAGGGAAACCGGTTATTTTCATATAGTCGGACTTGAGTCCTGGAAATGGGAAGTACAATGCCTGCACTTTAAAGGAGGGGTTTGGGATATTGGCAGTTTGGAGGGATATGTTGTGTATCTTTATATGTGTGTGCTTCTAAACTGTTGTATTCTGAGCACCACTGCAAAAACAGTGATAATGTGTGAGTGTGGTGAAAGTGTTGAATGATGATGAAAGTATTTTCTTTTTGGGGATTTTCTTTCTTTTTTGGGTCACCCTGCCTCGGTGGGAGACGGCCGACTTGTTGAAAAAAAAAAAAAAAAAAAAATATATATATATATATATGTATATATATATATATATATATATATATATATATATATATATATATATATATATATATATATATATATATTATATTATATATATATATATATATATATATATATATATATATATATATATATATATATATATATATATATATATATATATATAGTAGGTTGGTAGACAGCAACCACCCAGGGAGGTACTACCGTCCTGCCAAGTGAGTGTAAAACGAAAGCCTGTAATTGTTTTACATGATGGTAGGATTGCTGGTGTCCTTTTTTCTGTCTCATGAACATGCAAGATTTCAGGTATGTCTTGCTACTTCTACTTACACTTAGGTCACACTACACATACATGTACAAGCACATATATACACACCCCTCTGGGTTTTCTTCTATTTTCTTTCTAGTTCTTATTCTTGTTTATTTCCTCTTATCTCCATGGGGAAGTGGAACAGAATTCTTCCTCCGTAAGCCATGCGTGTTGTAAGAGGCGACTAAAATGCCAGGAGCAAGGGGCTAGTAACCTCTTCTCCTGTATATATTACTAAATGTAAAAGGAGAAACTTTCGTTTTTCCTTTTGGGCCACCCCGCCTCGGTGGGATACGGCCGGTGTGTTGAAAGAAAGAAAGAAAGAAAGATATATATATATATATATATATATATATATATATATATATATATATATATATATATATATATATATATATAAAGGTGAATACAGGAAAGAGTAAGGTTATGAGGATAACAAAAAGATTAGGTGATGAAAGATTGAATATCAGATTGGAGGGAGAGAGTATGGAGGAGAACGTATTCAGATATTTGGAGATGGACGTGTCAGCGGATGGGTCTATGAAAGATGAGGTGAATCATAGAATTGATGAGGGAAAAAGAGTGAGTGGTGCACTTAGGAGTCTGTGGAGACAAAGAACTTTGTCCTTGGAGGCAAAGAGGGGAATGTATGAGAGTATAGTTTTACCAACGCTCTTATATGGGTGTGAAGCGTGGGTGATGAATGTTGCAGCGAGGAGAAGGCTGGAGGCAGTGGAGATGTCATGTCTGAGGGCAATGTGTGGTGTGAATATAATGCAGAGAATTCGTAGTTTGGAAGTTGGGAGGAGGTGCGGGATTACCAAAATGTTGTCCAGGGGCTAGGGGGGTTTTTGAGGTGGTTGGACATGAGAGAGAATGGAGCGAACGAATGACTTCAAGATGTATCGTCTGTAGGGAAGGAAGGCGGGGTGGGGGTCGGCCTAGGAAGGGTTGGGGGAGGGGGTAAAGGGGGTTTTTGTGTGCGGGGCTTGGACTTCCGCGGCATGCGTAGCGGTTTGATTAGGGTGAATGGAGAAAAAGGTTTTTTTATTTGCTGCTGTTGGAGTGTGAGCAAGAACATTTATAAAGGGGATCAGGAAACGGCGGGCCCGGAAATTGGTTCGGAAATGGGAATACAGTGCCTGCACTCTAAGGGGGGTTTTAATGTTGCAGTTTAAAAACTGTAGTGTAAAGCACCCTTCTGGCAAGACAGTGATGGAGTGAATGATGGTGAAAGTTTTTCTTTTTCGGGCCACCCTGCCTTGGTGGGAATCGGCCAGTGTGATAATAAAAAAAAAAAAAAATATACGTATATATATATATTACATTACTGCCCTTTAAAATATATAATAGCAATCGTTAGGTACCATAGGTACTGCAAGATAATAAACTTTATGGTAAGCGAGTCACTGGCATGGAGTTTTACCACTCACTTACCAGGGTTACTAACCCCACCTGTACAGTGGTTAATAAATTTTATCTCCTAGAAAAATCAACTTACTGTAGAGAGCAGCAAATATTTCTAAGTCACAAGTGCGTTCTTCCCCACTAACACATCGATGGGCAAGGCTTTGAAAACTGTCCAAGTGTATCACAAATGTCTCCACCACATGACAGTGGACCTGATGCTGTAGAGAGCCAATGATCTACCTGAAAATCAACACATTTCATAAAAAATGCCTTTAGTAAGTTTATTTAAAAGAACAGACACTGTTTAAAAGTGAAAAATGAGCGGGGAGTGAAAAGTAAAAAAAATAGTAGCATGGGTTGTGCAACTTTTAAAAATTTTGGGGTCAATTTTCCCCAGCTTTAGAGTGTTTTTTTGGATGTGTTGAATATGAACATTACACTTCAGTTGTTGGTACTATTAGACATGGGAATTTTCCCTTTTTTTTCCCCATTTTCCCTTTCAATTGATTTTTGTGTTAATTTTTGGGCATCATTTGTTTTGGCATTTTATTGAAAACACTTTTTTGGGAACTTTTTTTAGTTCTTGTCAGCAATGGTTATATTTTCATGGGGTCTCGACCTGATATATAAAGGGTTTTTCATTAAAATGGGTTTCAGGTTTCAAAGCCAGGGGGTGTTAAAGAACATTAGGGTCATGAAATCAATTTCTAGCGCACTCAGCTCAACAAGTGTGAAGTCTTGGGTTTAAAACTCCACAGAGTGGAAAAAATTAGGACATGGTTCCCAAAAAACCCTGCTGTCCCCGTTCACCCATCAGTAAAATGGGTACCTGGGGGTTAATAGGTGGTGAGAGTCACACCCTAATTTTTCCCCGAAATGATCGATTAAAAAGGGGCTTTCTATACGTAGTTGTCACTTTATTTTAAAATCAAAAAAAGCGCTAACCACAAGGTATACAGTGGGGCGGAAGGAAGCGGGGCATCGGTGGCAAAAGGGAGATGGTGAGTAATGGTTACGGATAACAGCGGGGTATGGATGGGAAAGGGTAAAGGGCAGCAAGAGACTGAACTAGAAAGGGCTGAGGGGAAGTGCGAAAAGTATCATCAGAGTTTGTGGAGTAAATCAGTCGTTGTCAAGAAGTCAATGAGAGAGTCAGGATTAAAGGAGGGTCCATCAGCAAGAAGGGAAGGTAAAGAGAGAGTAGTAGAACGAAGACGACGTTGGAGGTAAATTCTGCGTGCTCGTTGATAGAGAGAGCAGTCTAACAGAATGTGGCTAATCGATACTGGAACTTGACACTGCTCACAGAGAGGAACAGGGTGCCTCTCCATGAGATACCCATGAGTAAGACAAGTGTGGCCAATGCGAAGGCGGGAGAGAGTGGTCTCTCAACCTCGGCACTGATGACAAGAAGACGGCCAGTAACCTATGCTCGGTTTAATAGAATGAAGTTTGTTACCGAGCAGAGTTGACCAACGTTGTTGCCAACGGGTGTGAAGGTGGGTAGCTATTGCAGCAAAATAGTCCAGAAATGGAACACCTCTATAGGAAATTGGTAGGTCATGTACTGCTGACCGTGCAGCAGTGTCTGCCTGTTCATTGCCCTGTACGTCGACATGACCATGGACCCAACAAAAAATAATATCTTTATGCTTCATAGAGATACGGCGCAGCCAAAGTTGGATATGGAGAACTAGGGGGTGAGATGTATCAAATTTTCGTATAGCCTATAGAACACTAAGGGAGTCTGAGACTACCACAAATGATGACACAGGCATAGATGCGATACGAATAAGTGCTGCAAGAATGGCATACAATTCAGCAGTAAAAATGCTAGCCGAAGATAGTAAATGCCCCCGCACGACACTGTCCAGAAACACTGCTGCGAATCCGACGCCGTCTGAAGACTTAAAGCCATCTGTGTACACAGCGATGGCATGAGAACGAGAGTGGAAGTGATCAAGAAAAAGAGAGCGGGAAGACACCGTAGGCAGTTGGGCTTTTGAGCAAGGGAGTGAGAAAGAACAGACCCGAACAGCTGGAACTTCCCAGTGGGGTAGGGAAAAGTGAGATGCTACATGAACATATAAAGGTGGTAACTGAAGGGAAGACAAGAGCGAATGTAGGCGAAGAGAAAAGGGACAGAGCAAACAGGGGTGGCAAACAAATAAAGAATGTCTACTAATATCAGTGACCATTCTATAAATGGAAGGATTGTGGAGATCGTGAGAGCGTACATAGTAGCGAAAGCAATGGGCATCACGGCGATCAGACAAGGATGGAACATTCGCTTCTGTATAGAGGCTCTTAACAGGGGAAGAGCGAAAAGCACCAAGGCATAAACGTAATCCGTGGTGATGTATGGGGTTAAGGCTAGCTAGAGTAGCAGGAGAGGCAGCTGAATAAATCTGGTCACCATAATCGAGTTTCGATAAAACGAGGGCTGAATGTAGGCGAAGCAGAGTTCGACGATCAGCTCCCCAGGAAAGATGAGCAAGGGTTTTAAGAAGGTTTAGCCGGCTGTGACAAGTTGCCTTCAGAGAGGTAATGTGAGGTTTCCAGGATAACCTACGGTCAAAGAGAAGGCCTAGAAACCTGACTTATCACGTTCGGGGATACGGGAGCCATAGAGATACAAAGGATGATCGGAGATGACAGAGCGTCTAGTGAAGAAAATGGTGGTGAGTTTTGGTACTGGAAAATTTAAACCCATGGTGGTGGCCCAAGTGGAAACACGGTCGACCGCATGCTGGAGAGAAACTGCAATGAGATGACATTCAGCGCCTGCACAAGCAATAGCGAAGTCATCAGCATAGAGTGATGACCAAATATTGGGTGGAAGAACAGAGGCCAAATCATTTACAGCAAGGAGAAAAAGTGTTGTGCTTAGAACACATCCCTGAGGGACACCTTCAGCTTGGACGAAGTCCGGGGAAAGAACATTATTGACTCGAACACGGAAATGTCTGTCAGTTAAAAAGTTCTTAAGGAAGGATGGTAGATTGCCTTGGAGGCCTAAGGAGTGGGCCTGGGCCAAAATATTATACCTCCAAGTTGTGTCATATGCCTTCTCAAGGTCAAAAAATATGGCAATAACTGAGTGATTATTCGCAAAGGTATTACGAACATACGTATCCAAGCATAGTAAGGGGTCTATGGTAGAACGGCCCTTACGAAAGCCATATTGACTAGCGGAGAGACTGTTGTGTGTCTCTAAATACCACATTAAACGTCGATTTACGAGACGTTCCATCAATTTGCAAACTGCACTAGTTAGAGCGATGGGACGATAGTGGGAGGCATCATGTCCTGTAGTACCCGGTTTGCGGGAAAAAGGGGGAACAATGGCAGATTTCCACAGCTGGGGAAGAACTCCTTGTGCCCAAATAAGATTGAAGAGGTGTAAGAGGACTACAAGGGCTGACCGATGTAAATGTTGTAACATACGAATATGAATGTCGTCAGGCCCAGCTGCCGATGATCGGCAAGCTGAGAGCGTTGCCTCCAGTTCTTGAAGTGTAAAAGGCACATTATACTGTTCTTCTCTGAGAGAAGAAAAGTCCAAGGGTACTAACTCTCTGGCAGACTTTGAGGAAAGAAACGAGGGGCATAGATGGAGCCCCCGGGAAATACGGACCAGATGTGTGCCAAGTTCAATGGCAACGTCGAGAGGGTTTGCTACATCAACACCAGCACCCGTTGAACAGGAGCCGGGTCAGGAGAGTATTTACCACTCAATTTCCTCACTTTTTTCCAGACTGCACTCATAGAAGAAGCAGAGGCGATGGTGGAAACATAGTCTCGCCAGCAAGTGCGTTTAGCTTCACGGATGACACGGCGAGCGATCGCACGCTTCTGCTTAAAATCAAAAAGTCCTCAGCGGTTTTTTTGTACCGGTACCTCCCCCAGCAGGGGTTTTTCAAAGATGCATGAGCACAAGCGGGAACCCCCAAAGGGCACGCACTTCTGAAAATCCTGCCTGGGGTTTTGGGGGTATAGAATGAGAAGCTGTGGTAAAACTGACGTGAGAAGGGTGGGGAGTCATCAATGGGATGAAAAAGGGAAACCTCATAAAAGCAGTGATTGCGAGAAAAGACCCCAATTTGCCATCAAATTGCCAGCGGGGGTCGGAAAGGGGGGAAATGGGAAAGGGGAAAAGTAAAATTTTTTGGGAAAAGATCCTGTCATGAAAGCGGTAGAACAGCCCAGGTGAAGTCTGTGCAGTGGAGGAAGAGCAGACTGATAGATCAAAAGCAAGAGAGAGTTGATCGGGATCAAAATGGGGGGAGTCCCATATTAAAACAGGGGGGGTGAGAGGCGAAAAACCCTCAACTGGATGCCACTGAGTCAAAGAACCCCCCAGGGAAAGGGTGGGCGTTTAAAATCACCAAGTAACAGAATGGGGGTGGTAAGGATAAAACAAAAAAGGTTTAAGTCGGATGAAAATCTCGAGAAGGAGAGAGATATAAAGAAAATTTAAACCATTATTAAAAGTGGTAGGGGTGCAGTGTAGTGCAGCGAGGTTGGAAAAATATTTTTGACAGTAGGGAAATTTCATTGCATAGAAGAAGGGCACTTTAAATTAAAGGTCCATTGGAAAGGACCCGAAGAATAAAATAAATTATCCCTGAGATGGGGTTGGAAAACAGCCGGTGGGTTTTTTGGGTTTTTTTAAGCAAGCCCCAAACGGGGGGAAAACCCTGGAAGAACATCTGAAGCTCACCCGATTCCCCCCGGGGCCGGGTTTTCCCCATTTGTAAATGGGCCCTGTTTGGGCGATGAAGAAAATACCGGGAAAATCGGGGGAAAAGGGCCCCTACGGATAGAGGGGAGAAAAGTCAACTTTTGGTGGCTTTGGAAAACGTTAAAGCAGCGAAGGAAGGGGCGTTGCAAGAAGGGGGGTTGTGAAGATGGAGGAGGGGAAGGAAAAGGGAAACAGGAAGTGAATCAGTATCCATTGAAGGTTTAGTTCTGCAATATATTTGAAATGGCTTAAAGTGTTTCTAAATTCAAAGATTTGGGAGCCATATTGGAGATAGGGGGGGAGGGTGATAAAGATTGGGCGAAATGGACGTACCAAGTAGAGGGGGGGGGAAAGAGTGAAGGGAGGGTTTAAAGGTGGGGGGGGGGGACAGAAAAAGGGGAAACCTGGAGGTGGCAGAAAAGGAGAAACTTGGGGGGGGACGGGGGGGGAAGGCATAGACGAGGAGGGGGGTGAATCCCAAAAAATTGTAATAGAC